GACTTTCAGGTACAGTTTTCTTGAATTAAATCAGACTCTTGATGTTCATCACTTTTCATTCGATTGTCTCTCTTAATAGGCGACTCGAACGCGTATTAGAAGACTGTTTTATATTAAATACCCGTTTCGGAGAGAACATGCGTTTTGTGCGATACAATAATTCTTGTTCATTAAATAATTTCTAAGATAATTACCATGCGTTCAAGTACGCGTTGATATAAGAATGCTTAGCTTTAGGATATTTGATTTGGTCTATCTTACAGCGCTCTGTTGAATATTAGTTTTTGTTTTAAAACTCCTATTCTATATCAAAATCATTGAAATCCTTACACTGATAGAATAACGTTTTTAATACAAATATTTAAAAATAAATGAACTACAATAAACGACGCCCTTATGACATGCTTTTCGACCATGATACTATAAGACTCGAGGGTATCTATTTGAGGGACTTTTTAAGATAAGACTCGTCGAAATTCAAGGCAATCCTTTTTTGTCATTCTTATACTCGGACTATATCTGTATTGACTGTAATAATTTTATTTGCTTATATTCAGAGTAATCCCAAAATAGTTTAATACTCGGACTTTGATTTGGCTCTCAATAGAGAAAAATGATCTTGTAATTACTTAGTTGCTAGTAGTATCTGAATGGTGTTGCAATCTCTCTATATGTATAAAGTTCTTCAAAAACCTAGTACTCGCCAGTTCTCGATAAGAAAAGGGAACTCTTCAAACTATAATCTTTAAACCCAGAATATTTTTTTCATATTGATTCTGTTCATAATAACTACGCTGAACGATTTTCTAGTGCTTACCACAATTCACTCAATAATTGTTTCCTTTCATCTTTATCTGTTTTTTCTTAATATAATCATTCTTTTCCTAAGCAATTTGAATGTATCAACTGAATCCGGCAGATATTTTTACCTGTATTTTGAGAATGAAATACAAAGTTAAAAAGATGATTAATGAGTTCTGCTCTTCGTCTATTCCAGTAATTGAGATATATCGTACTTATTATAATGTTGTTGGTCGCACATACGATAGTCTTTTCTTTCTAGAACTTGAACACGCCTAGCAATTATCATCGTGACATCCGACCAAACACTTTAGAGAAAAGAGGAAAAACGAGGATAATTACCAGTGAAAAATTTTAGGGATTATAATTTCGAAATCCTCTGGGCATAATCCAAATTGGTAATCGGATTTTTCTGCAACAAAATCAAAATTCTAATCGATTGAAATCGAGATTCCAATCAACATCAATCGATTACGCATATTCCACAATCGATTGAGAGTGATTTCAATTTCGATTCTGATCGATTAAAATTTTGATTTTGTTGCGGAATAATCCAACGGATAATTTTGATTATAATCAATAAAAATCGATTAGAAAAGTATAATAATCAATTTGCACAATTGTGATTCATGAACGTCAGCTCTTGTAGGACTCACACACATAAGCTTAGTTACGTATAGATCAAGAAAAAGTTTTCAAGCAATATCAATCGGACAGATCAGATGGTGTCGTTTAGGCAAACTGAGTCTCATCAGCACTGTTACTATGAAGTAGAGAAACCTGCAAAATTTATCATCAGTGCTTTATAAGAAGCTAGTTAACTTTTGAGTCAAAGAAAGATGCCCTCTATAAGGATGCTTTTCGGACTTGTCCCTAGATTGTATAGACATAGGATGAAGCCGCAAATTTCCCATAAATTCTATTCTTAAAAAAATAATATCAACTCACTAACATCCACTGTTTCTGATACTTTACTTTTTCGCCGCTTAACTATTCAGTTTGAACAAAAAGGTCGATTTTGAAAGTTTTTCAATGGTATTTAGAAACAGTAGATGTTGGCGAGCTGATAGTATTTTTTTAAGAATAGAACTTATGGGAAATTTGCGGCTTCATCCTATGTCTATACAATCTAGGGACAAGTCCGAAAAGCATCCTTATAGAGGGCTTCTTCCTTTGACTCAAAAGTTAACTAGCTTCTTATAAAGCACTGATGATAAATTTTGCAAGTTTCTCTACTTCATAGTAATAGTTCTGATGAGATTCAGTTTGCCTAAACGACACCATCTGATTTGTCCGATTGATATTGCTTGAAAACTTTTTCTTAATCTATAACTAAGCTTACGTGTGAGTCCTACAAGAGTCATAAGTTTAATCCATTTCTACAACTTGAATCTATTTCAATGCATTCTGAGATTATTTAAGTTACAGTTGTATATATTTCCAGTAGAATGGTGAGAGGAAGCTAAATAGAGACGTTTTAATATAAAATCCTGACTACGACTTGGTTTTACATGTGTTTACTTCTTCTTTTTTACCGAGTGATATTTATTGGAATTTTATTTTAACATAAAATTTACTACAATTTCTTCTCTCATTTCTATCTCGACTATTCATTGGACCAGCTTCGACAAAATTCTCAAGAGCCTTTTATCTTTCCCCACGTTAGAAATATTTTAGTAAGTGTTTACAATTTCAATTATTCATTAAAGACCATTAAAGATAATATTTTATTATTAAATTCAAAATAAAAAAAATGTAGTGACATGCTTTCAATTGAACTAAAAACAGGTTAATATTACATTTGAGGAACTCGGCAGAGTGTTTTTTTATCTGAAACTCAAGTAGAAGTTCACATACATTAAGAATTTTAAATATCTAGCAATAAATTCTTACACTCTGAAAGAAAAAAAAGAGTTCTACGGAACTATTTTAAGTTCTGTATGACAATACGAAACTATCAATAGTTTTGTCCAACAGTACTGAGCTTTTGAAGGTTTCGGGAACAGATTAAAACCACAAAAAGTTCTGTGTTGAAGAATACTGAACCGAAAGGGTTCTGCACAATGACACTGAACCTATTAAGATTCTGTGAAAAAATAACGAACCATAAAATGTTCTCTAGTCAAAAGTACGGAACCCGACAGGTTCTGTCCCATGATGCTGAACTTTGCAAGGTTCGGCAAAAGAATCCTGAACCATAAAAAGTTCAGTGTGTAATAATACTGAACCAGATATAGTTCTGGGTAAAGATGCGGAACCATCAAATGTGTTCTATCCAAAAGGGGAACTCAAAAGATTCTGTCCCATGATACTGAACTGTTTAAGGTTCAGCAGAAAATTGTTGAACCATAATAGGTTCTGTTTCTGCAATGCTACACCGAAAAAGTTTTGTACAATAAGACTGAACCTTGAAAGGTTCTCTCAAAAAATGATCCATTCTAAAAAAACAAATTCTTTACCCAAAAACATTGAAGTGAAAAATATTTTCTCATTTCTGCTCAATTCTTTAGGGTTTCACAGTTCAAACGCGCTGCCATAAAAGGCTTTGAGAGACAAAGTATGATGCAATATATATTTATTATGAAGTCTTTTATCAAAATGTCGGCAGAAAATATTTTTTCAAATTTAATTTAAGGTACATTCGGTAGAACTATTTTATTGCATAATTTCTTCTTTCTTTTACTTCACGATACGTTATTGTGCTCTAATGTTCGACTTTTTCATCGCTCGAGAATGCTTTTTGCACTTAAACCATTGACATGAGGTGAATTTTCTTTTCTTCTCAAGTAATTTTACTGTTGTTTTTACATTTTCACCTGATTGTCATTCCCGGGAAAAGATTGAAACAAATCATCATAGTTTTCTCAACGCCTAGCTAATATATGCTAAATCTGGTAAATAACTATAAAGGCAAATAATGCTATCATCCATATTTAGTAATCCAACTGCTTTGAGATAAATTACGCCTATCCTCACAATTCGACGACTCTAAGGAAGCTCCAATAATATTTTTAAGNGGTCAAGATATAACAATGCAATCGTAAAGGCATGCTGAAAATAAAAGAATTGTAATGGTGTAGATATCAAGGCATGAATAACGAGGTATAGCTATAAGATGCAGTATTAAGGCTAAAGAAATAAGGGCGTAGTTATAAGGCTACTCTCTAAAGCTAACTTGTTTCGTTAAATTTCAAGAAACAACGATTAAAAATACCCATAATAATTTTTAAAGGTTGTAGTGATTGAGAACAACACAAACTTCTGGTTTCAGATGATCATTATAACTGATTTTTTCTTAGAATCACAGGATCGAACAATAAAAAACCTATAGTAATTTTTCTTTTTTTGAAATTCTTCAAATAGATTGCATCCAAACGGTAAGTTTCATTTCAGAATACAAACCTAATGTCAAAATTTCTTTTTTTTTCGTGTAGCTTTTTACAATTGTATCATTTCAAGGGCAATTCACATTGAAGAATCAGCAGCTAATATCAAGATTTCTTTTTCTTTTAGATTCTTTCAATACATTTTGTCCAATCAGTAAGTTATATGCAAGAATTAGAAAATCATATCAAGTTTTTATTGTTTGTCTTAGATTCTTCAAATAGGTTTTATTCAAATAATAAGCTTCATTTAAGAATAAAAACGTTATATAGAAATATCGATTTTTTTTACTCTTTTAGGTTCTTGGAATGAATTTTATTCAAAGGGTGAGTTACATATCAGTATTCGAGAAATAACGATGTGTCATTTTGATGTTTTTATGATAGACGACATGGGCTCGACATTCGTGTGACTGCCGATATTTTTCAGATCCTTCATTGCATTCCCAGGTTGGTGAGCTTTGAAACCTTTTTGCAGTTTCTGATATTGCTTTGTGAGAAAGTACTGTAACTATTTGTTTCGGTTTAGAAGACTTTGAACACCAATATTCGGAAACTCTGAAAGGTTTTCAGACAGTGCCAAAGTGGGAAAGGCCCTAACGTTTTCCCAGAACTACACTTTTTTAGGAAATATACAAATAAGGGTATAGTTGTAAGGGTATAGAATTAAGGATATATTTTAAGGGTATCGTTTTAAGGGTATAGATATAAGAATATAGTAATAAGGGTATAGTTTAAGGGTATAGTTTAAGGGTATAAGCTGAGGGTGTGGGGTGTGGGTGTGGGTGAAGGCACGACAAAATAGAACACCCACACCTACATCCCACAAAAAGAATTCGAGGTAGGAATAGCAAATAAAAACTCAATCAATTTTCGTAAATTAGGTACATGTTCACCATCAAGCAAATAAGCCCATAGATGGTCAGGTCGAATTGATTTATTCGTTTTCTTATGTTTGTAAATCTTGCCATCAGGTTTATCATCATTAGTGTCGCTATCGTCAGGATTATCTGAAAGATCAAAATCATTGCATAAGTTTGTTCCATTTTTAACTGATGCTCCATTATATTTCGATTGACCCAAATTTGGAACAATAAATGATTGTACTTGTGTAGTGATTGCACCGAATCTTTCTTTTAAATCAATATATTTTGATTTGATATGACTAAAATCATTATATAAATCATCGAGGTCAATCTTTTGATTGGCAACAAAAGTAGAACATTGTTGAATAAATTTCCATTTGACTTTTTCAATATCAAGTTCATCGAAAATAGAAATGGACTGGTAAATTGATTTATAATTATTATAATATTTTTCAATATAATCGATAACTGAACGAATAAATAATCTAAATAATTTTTCAAATCATCAGCTTGTTTAATTGGGCAATTTTCAAATAGTTCAGCAACTCTATAACTGGAAAAATCATCTTGTGTACGATTCTGTAATTTACGAAGTAAATTTGTAATAATGCCATATATACTAACACCAGTTGTATAATTTCGTTGTAATAATAAATTTGCATTATGTACTTCTGGTAAAATATTTGCTAACAAGAATAACGTACATTCACCTATAAAGATAAGATAAATTAATATGTATGTTGTTGTAAACCGAAATGATTACTGTTATGTGATGTAAAAATTCGAACAATAATTCTGGACATTCACCACTCTACAAATTCAAAAAATAACTTTTAACAATTGGATGGGCACCAGTTAGACGTTCAATAGATCGTAGAAGACTTAATCATCTCAGTTTAATATGTTTAAGGATAAACTAAAATGGAAACATTGTATTCACATTCACACAATATTCGAAAATAGAATGTGACTATTCACTTGTTGTTCTTCATCAATAAATTCAAAATAGTTCGTTAATTCCTGAGAACGAACAGGTGATCTGCAAAAATGAGATTATATTTTCAGCAATGCTGTTTCAATATCAAACAACAAGTGTTCATGTCCATGTTTAACTGAATTGTGTAGTACATGACAATAACAAGCTTTTAGATTAAGGAAATATTTATAAGGCGACTAATGAAAATTTTGATATATTAGAATATTTTTTTCCTTTTATTAAACCAGGTAAAAGTTTTTCGAATAAAGCAAATACACTATGATGATTGCCAACATTGACATAATTATTATCAGATCCGAGTGAAACTAGTTTATTCGATTTTAATTCGTTCGCTTCCAAAACATATTTTATATTTGTAAATAAAGCATCAGCTGATTCATGCATTTGCTCGAGAAATTCAAGAATACCATGTTTAACGCCAGTTCTTGAAAAGAATTGTACCATAATTGGAATCATCTTAGTATTTCCTTTATGGGATGCATCATAACAAATTGAGAAAGATGAAACGTTTTGTAATTCAGTAACAATATAATATGTAAGAGATGGTGCAAGTACATTACATGCTATTTCACGAGCCTAAAGAAGAAATATAAGCTACCATAGTTATAACTTCATTTCATCAACATTATGCCTACGTTATATAGATCTGTGATAATCAAAGTAGAACTAAGTAAAAAGACGAAGATGGCATTCTTTAAATCACTGTATCAACCAACCATTATTTACGGACATGCACATGAGATATTAACGGAGAAAACTCGATTGCGAATACAATCTGCTGAGATGCGGTTCTTAAGCAGAACAGCAGACTTGACACTTCGAAACAAAATCCAAAGCTCAAGCCTCCGTGAATCTTTACAAATTGAAACACTACCTATTCATATCGAACGCTCACAACTGCAATGGCTAGAACATATCCTAAGAATGCTACCAAACCGACTACTATGTAAAGTATTTCAAGCTGTACCGACAGGGAAAAGGTCGATTGGACGATCAAGAACTAGTTGGCGCAAGTACATCGAAAAACGACTTCAGAAGTCTCTGGGCATCCAATGGATCGATGTTTAACAAGCGGCGAGAGATCGAAATCGATGGAAACAACTATTGAACGGGTTTAAACCCAGACCCGAACAGACAAGAGGAGAAAAATGAATCAAAATGAATGAATGACTTAAAATAAAATGTAATCATTTTTATCGAATCATTTTCCTGTCAATTTCATGCATCAATTTCATGTTTTTTCAATGATTTTCATGATATCACTTTAATTAAAATGTAATCATTTTTCTGTCAATTTCATGTACGACTTTAAAATGCATGCATGAAAGTGTCCGTCTCATGATGAAAAGTGTCATTTTTTTCATTGTAGACATCGTTTTTCTCTAATAAAATTTCCATTAAAATGATGAATTTACATAATCTTTTGCCATATTTTTATTCCACGGGAATCACTTGGTTTTGTCATGTATACGGAAAAGTCTAAAGTCAAGTATTATTGAGCCATAACATCATATATTGTTAAAAGGTCCCGAACCTTCCAAAAGATTCATTAAATCACAAAAAAGTCCCGGTAACCACTCAAAGTTAATGGGCCTTCTTTATTTCGCTCGTATTGATTGTATTTGCTTCGAAGTGAAAGTCAGCAAGATTCGTATTATACACTGCAGTGAGTAACAAATCGATCGATGGAATAAATGCTGATTTCAAGCGGAAAAATGCCATGAAGGTCAAAAATGGATCCTCTTTCCTTTCTGTTTATAAAGGACAACCAATAATAAACAGATAAACCAAACTGCGTATAGTATACCTATATCGAGCCTTTTTCTACAGATATACACTATTCCAGCACTATTTCATTATTCTCGTTAGAAATAAAATACCTTGAAAAGTCTCATGTCTACATTTATACAGCAGAGCAGTTTTCTCCTACACATATTGCTCTCCATTTTTCTACAAACATTTTTTCCATGCTGGTATGCATTATTCCCAGTATTGTTTCATTATTTTCGTTAGAAATAAAACATTTTTACAGGTTCATGTCTACACTTATGCAGTATAAGCATTTTTCTTCTACAGGCGATGTTTTCCATTTTCTGCTATGATTTTTTCTGTAGATGTTTTGGTTATTCGTAGGGGAAGTGTTGTAATGCGTGTATATTTATACGATCAGTTTATTTGGAGTATCATGTGAATTTTGTATAGCTGAGGGTTGACCACTTTTGACCTCATCACCATTTTTCCTTTAGAAGTAAGCATTATTATCACCCAATCACTTCACTGTCCAACCCTTATTATACAATGGACTCAAGGCTTATTCGATTTAAAAAAGTTTGATGATTAGAGTGTATCTCTCCTGATCGTCTTAAATTGACGAAAGTGCGTGGTAAAGTAACCATCGTTTCCTTCGTTGTTACTGGGGGAAAATTCAAAGTAAAAAATGAAGGAAGCATAGGGCAAGCTCCTATATACATAAAATTACAGATGTTAATGAGAAAAACTAAACCATGAAATACAAAAATGCCACGCTTGATTGATGCAGACAAAAATTCTATGTTGAAAAAAACAAATATTACCAACAACCATAAATACTAAGTAAAATCATTCGCATACTCATTTTTCACAGCTAACATATTTCAATATCACTTGGTAAGTATTCTTATTCGCTTACTGATACTTTTTCATGAGCGGCATGTTCCGTTTTTACAATACATTAAGATAAATACTAATGCTAACAAAAATGGCGGAAGACAAACGTGAGTTTTACAGTTAATATCATGAATTTGGGAAAAACTAACATAGAAACATAAATTGGTATAAATAATCGAGATCTACATAAGGAAATTAAGGTCATCTATTGAAAATGAAAACCGTTGGTAGCATAACTTTAATTTGTATACCAATCAATAGAGGGTTATAATAATTTGTTAGAATAAAAAGCTACTAAGAATGATCTGTCCCACTAACGAACATGATAGAAAAATTCCATAGTATTGTTGTTTGCATTTTTTGCTACTCAAATGAGACTGTATTAGCAATACTGTAAAGAATAATCAGCTAGAGCATAAAAACGAGACAAGAAACTATTAGGATGAGAAATATCGAACCTTTTAATTGGTCGTATTTCATTTCAATCTAGAACAGCCACAGTAGGATATCTTTAAAACAGTGCTACACATTAATGTTACTTGGCTTGCCAATATCACAGGATTGTACAATGAATGGGGATGCATTCAATGAAATCCAAAATAAAACGGTATACTCTTGAAGAACAAATTAAAAAGATTTAGAGGATGATTAATAATAAACGTAGCATATTCCAATATAAATTGTTCAGTGTTAAAATGAGTCAACGCCAGTTAATGGTCTAGTGATTTCTTAAACTGTTGATTGTACATGCATTTGATCAGTGACCATTGCGATTGTGTTACTTTCTTGAAATTTTCGAATCTATACCCCCGGAAAGAATAGTTTTCGGCCGCCCACGTAAGCAAAAAATAAAGGAAGACGATCTTCATGTCTAGTCTGATGTCTTGCGCATGCGTTAGACCGAGCCAAAGCTCGAAAAAGATTCTTCCATACAGTTCAGGCTAGCCCGGAGCGTCCGTGAACTGATTCACGTATAGTTCATTTCCTCCATTGACTCCAGACATTGGACCAGCACCAGTACAGTAAGTATCAGTACAAATACTGTATACTTAAAGATTGTACTTTGTACTTTTACTTAAGTACATTGAAGCTAAGGACATTTTTACTTAGTACATGCTTCGTTTTGCTTGGAATTGCTGGTTTGAACACGGAAGAGATTCAACTAACAACTTTCTTTTTACTTTGAGGTTGTTACTTTAGGCTTGTCAGAATGTACAGGGATAGTTTCACGACATAATTTTTTCTGAAATCTTTTTCAGTTCTAACCCGTAAACTTAGAACTGGAAACTGTTCCAAACGTTTCGACAAATCTTTCTTAAGTTTTAATGAACACTTCTGTAACTGAGGAAGGTTCATAGTCTTATTATATACACATATACTACAAATTTCAAAGCTCTACACTTTGTTGCTGCTAAGAAAACTAGATTGAAAGGTGACAAAATGTGAGTGCGCTACTTTTGGACCCGCTCTGCAGTATTTGCTCGTTTTCAGATATTATGCATTTTTCAAAGGAATTATCTGTCCAATCAGATATAAGCATGACGAATCATTTGACGGATGGATTCCACATGACTCAGTAGGGCTATATATCAAAGAACTGATGCCTATTCAGATTTACTTGCAACAATAGGACGATTTCCACCGAAATATTATCTGAATTGTGAGAATCTATTATAATTCAGTAGGCATACTTGACCTTTAGTAAATAATCAATCTTTAAATCTACTTTCTTCTAAGACTTAGTTATAAAGTGTGAAGTCAATTTTAATCGAACGTCCAGAAATCCGATCGACTACAAGTATGGCCCACGATCTGTCGTCATTGGCTATTTCAACAACGATACCTGGCCAGATACTGCTGTTGCCAATTATGATGCTGATAATGTAGCAATATATTTTGGATATGGAAATGGTACATTTACAAGTTCAGTCCTGTATGAAACAGGTTCTGACTCTGCACCGTGCATGGTCGCCGTCGCCGATTTCGATAACGATGGTCGAACCGACATCGCCGTTGCCAATTTTGGAATAAACAGCATTAGTTTACTTTTTGGAACCGAAAATGGGTCTTTTGTGAGTCGTACGCCTCTCTCAACTGCATCTTCTCGCCCGATTTTCGTCTACGCATCTGATCTGAATAATGACACAGCTGTAGATATTGTCACTGTTAACTACGGTACACACAGTATCAGTGTGTTTTATGGCTATGGAAATGGGGCATTCTCAGAACCAGACAGCTACTCAACGGGATATGATTCTTTCCCATTGGCAGTCGTCAGTGGGGATTTTAACAATGACCATAAGATAGATCTTGCCATTGCCAATTATGGCACAAACACTGTATGGATACTGTTCGGAACTGGCATTGGAACCTTCGTCAATCAAGCCGTGCTTTCAACCAATCTTAATTCCCATCCATACTCAATTGCCGTTGGTCATTTGAACGATGACAACATGTTGGATATTGCCGTCACCAACTACGGCAATAAAAATGTTGGTGTATTCCTGGGACATGGCAATGGAACTTTTCTCGATCAAATGACGTATTTAGTAGACCCTTCTTCTCCATATGCCATTGGCATTGGTGACTTCAACAAGGATAGTCTAATGGATATCGTTGTCACCAGTAATGACACTGATAATATTGCTGTATTTCTTGGATATGGCAATGGGACTTTTGCAAAGCCTAAACCCTATTCAACCGAATCTTCCTCTTCAATTTCGGTTGCCATAGGAGACTTGAACAAAGATAATCGTTTGGACATTGTCGTCATCAACAATGACACAGGTAGCATAAGTATTCTGCTTGGATATGACGAGGGGTTTCCAGATCAAATGACATTTTCAGCTGGCAGTTGGTCGATAGATGTAGTCATTGGTGATTTTAATAACGATAAGCAACTAGATGTCATCGTTACTAATAGCTATGATAACACTGTCAGTATCCTCCTCGGATATGGTAATGGCTCCTTCGCAAATCAAATAACATTCTCAACTGGCAATTCTCCATGGGGTGCAGCTATAGGTGATTTTAATAATGACACCATACTGGATATCGTCTTTGCTAATAGCCGCAACAAAAGTGTGAGTATCCTTCTCGGATATGGTAATGGCTCCTTTGCAAGTCAAATGACATTTTCAACTAACACTTTTCCATGGGGCGTAGCTGTTGGTAATTTTAACAAAGACATCACATTGGATATCTTCGTTACTAATTCTGCTGACAACAATGTAAGCGTTCTTCTCGGATATGGTAATGGCTCTTTTGCATATCAAGGGACATATTCAAAGGGGTCTTCACCGCAAGGCTTAGGCGTTGTTGATTTTAATAATGACAGTAGAATGGATATCGTCGTCGCTAATTTTAATAATGAGACCGTTAGTGTATTGCTTCGGAAAGATAGAGGAGCTCTAAATATCACAAACACATTTGCAGCTGCCACTGGTTCTCTGTTACGATCCTTTTTTGTTGTTGATGTTAACAACGATACTCTACTGGATATCATTGTTTGTAATTATGGTACTGATAATATTAATGTCCTCATAGGCTTGGGAAAAGGAACTTTCGGTAGCAAAATAACGTACCCAGTGGGCTTAGAAACTCATCCTGGCTCAATCACCGTGGATGACTTGAATAAAGATGGTCAAATGGATATAATAGTGGCTAATTATGAAACCAAAAATCTGGTTACGTTTCTTGGAAGTGGGAACGAAAATTTTGAAAATCTAGGAACATATAGCGCTAGGTTCGATTTCGCACCATCGATTATCGCTGTTGGTAATTTCAACAACGATGGACGTTTAGAAATTTTGATCTGCGGATATTATATCATCAAATTTGCAGTCAGTTTTAGTAGCTTGACTATGTTATCCTGCTGATTTATCAAAATTGCGAATGCCTTGTTCGTGTAATACGGGATAAATTAAACAAGTTTCAGTAACCAACGTCGAATAAGTATGGGGTTGAACTGGGTGCTGTTGTGGGACTAAGCGAACTCAAGAATTATACAAACATCGCACACCTGAATTCATTTGCACTGACAATTACCGTCAAAGACTGATTTGAATATCGTTTTAGTTGTGAATGATTATAGTTGACGATATTCTCTATGTATTTTGTGAATCAAGTAACCGGAATAATAAGAATGTAGTCACATGTAATCTTGAAAAATGAGTGTCCCCAATGCTAAACTTTTGAATGCATTAAATGGCTGTGTTTCAGTGTTTCCATTCATTTCAATATATCAAATAAATGATTTAATAAGATAAAAACGAGAGGAGCTATAGGGAAATAAGCAGCCAAAGACGTCACAACCAAGGCGAGACTTGACCTTCTCTGAAAAATCGATTTTTCAGGCGTTCGTTAGTTCGAGCGTTGTCGTACGTAAATACACCCCTCTGCATTTTCTTATTTGTGTCTCGATTCGAGCAAATTTAACATACTGCAAGAATATTCTCGTCCGGATAAAAGAAACTGTTATATATTACATTCGAGACTACAGCTAATACTTAAAGGGTCACCCTCATTAGAGAAGACTGAAATCTCAAATCATATATTGTGTAGCATGCTCTGTTCTCGACAAAATCAAAGACCAACATATCCTAGTCTATCATTTTGTATGATTCAATACGTATTATGTGAACAGTTCATATTATGGTCGCATATGATGACATCGATCAAATATATGTGTATCGGGTAAACGACACTGGATCTTTTAGTCAACACATGAGATACTGGACTGGTTATTGGCCAGGGTTTGTAGCTGTAGGTGATTTTGATAAAGATATCATACTGGATATCGTCGTTTCTAATCAGTATGCAACACTGTGAGTATTCTTCTGGGTTATGGCAATGGCTCCTTCCAGAATCAAATGACATATTTATATAATAAAGAAGGGCTTATTTTCAAAAAAAGGGCCACGACAGGAGCTAGTCCTAAACACGAGCTTTCAAACACAAAAAATAAAATTGACTTTTTCGGAAAACCGCTGATTTTTCGAATAGGGGTCGTCAAAAATATTGAAAATTTTTCGGGAAAAAGGAGGTATTGAAGAATTTTTTATCGTTTATGAAAGAGCAAATGACAGGCTATCTCCTCATGTATTTATCTCAATCTTGGGCATTCTGACGAAAACTAATTTTTTCGAGGGAGGGGTCCCCATAAATCAAAAACATTATGTATTTTAATATAATCATGGAACGCAAGCACCATTCGTCATGCACAAAACGATTAGTGAAGCTAAAAACTCAAAATTATTTACAATTCTTTCGAAAATTTGTTGATTATATATCAGTTATATGTTTATATACATTCGATTAGTTCAAGATTCAAAAACAATAATGACTCTAGAGGGTGTGGGCGTGGGTATGACAAAAGCGAATAACAATACCCACATCCACACCCTTTGAGTAAGCAACAACGAAATAGCAACGGTATTGTGGTAGCTATATCACACCCACACCCTCGTTTAGATTGATTACAGATGGCGTAAGTCTATAAGCAGAACGAGCGATTTTGCTGATCGAGTGAGGATCTGATGCGGTATTCTATTGGTCCTTAAATCTGTCGTATCAATGATTTGTTTATTTCGATGATTGTTTCATTACACAGTTCGTTTCGTTTTAATACACGTATTCTTAGCTTTCGTTTATTACTATTGTTTTTTGGATAAAACAATGGCAACTTCAATAGGAAACGATTCAGCAATATGGTCATGGAGCGATGCTAACAAAAGGCAGCAACTAAATATTGTTGATAATTATACACTGTAATAAAAACAGAAAATTCTTCTAAATAACTTATTATTATTCATTTTATTTCTCTAGTCATTTATTGTCTGATTATCTTATTATTCAACCTATGGTGCGCGATACTAAAGAATATCTTGTTATCGATCGAACCAGTGAAGAAATTCAAATTCTCAGTAAAAGAACATGTTTATTTTTAGTGTTAATCTAAATTTCGATTTTTGCTTTAATCATATTATCAAGGCAGCTTACCAAACGTCGATGAAGCTGTAAGACGATCGATACATGGTATTATCGGAGTTATTAATTTGATATCTGGTCCAAATTTAATTGTAATTACATCAAAACAACGTATGGGTGATATTAATGGACATGCTATTTATAAAGTTCAAACAACGGATATAATACCATATGCACGAAATATGTCTCATTTAAATGAAAATCAAGTACGATAAACTTCTTTTTTTGATAGAAAAAGAGAATATAATGTTCGATTTGTTTTTTGTTAGAAAAAATATAATACAAAATATTTGTCAATGATTGAACTTGTTTTACGTACAGAAGCATTTTATTTTTCGTATTCATATGATATAACACATACATTTCAACGTCTTCAACATCCATCACAAGAATTTTATAGTACACCATTTATAGAACGTGCAGATCAACGTTTTGTGTGGAATCGATATTTACTTAGTCCATTCTCGGCTAATAGAACTGCTGCACAATTTGCATTACCACTGATTCATGGATGTAAGTTAATGGAAAACTAAATAAATTTGTTTCATTAAAGAAATATTTAGTTGTTGCACTGCATACACTCAATATCAATGGACGTTCATTGTCATATGGTCTAATTTCAAGACGTAGTACCCAACGAGCAGGTACAAGGTAGGACTTTATTTTCTAGTTCGAAGCAAAGAATATATTTTATTTTGCTATTAAGATTATTTATTCGCGGTATTGATGATGATGGCCGTGTGGCTAATTATGTTGAAACAGAACAAATTCTTCAACTGAACGATATTGCTTGTTCTCATGTACAAGTAAGTACACATAGAATAAAACACGTGACTAACAAACGGTCCTACTTTAACGAGAAAGACTTAATAAACTAACTTCGAAAGTGTATCCAATACTGATAGGTATCAATCTGAACCATTCTCTTAATATGCATTATGTATGTTCATGAATAAAATTATATTGATTTTAGGGAATTTATGTTTAACATTTTAAATAATTCATATTGTTTTGTGTCTTACTCATTTTCATATGACTCCCAGAGCGTACTTTTAGTTGATTATACTTAACTGTTTAGACTCATCATGTGACTCTTGATATGATGGACTAAAACACGCTTTATGATTAAGAAAAATCTAACAGCGACCAAACATGATCGTATTTCTTCGAATATAATAGAAAGGAATATGATCGTTTACGAAATTCATATAGAACTTCCTTTTTTTTACGTAATTCGTTCGATGTAAATGATCGCATGTCAACGTATTCAATATCAAAAAGTACACTTATAATGTTCATCTATGTGAATCCAAATGAATAGGCGCCATTGTTTGTTGTTATAAAGTAACTATGTTCACAGGCAACCATTTCAGACATTTTCTGCCTGACCACTTTTCTAAGTTAATTACCGAAATACGAGACTTTTAGGTTTTCATTTTTTGACCTTAGAATGCAATAAAAAAAACAAAGAAAACAATTCATAATCAAGTATTCTTTTCTTTGCTAGATACGTGGATCGGTGCCTTGCTATTGGACACAATTGCCTGATCTTCGGTACAAACCGAAAGTGACAGTCTTACCATCAAATAATCATGTACGATACAAGCCATCTCTTTTATAACAAAATCATAATTAAAATGTTAATTTATTTCAGTTGATTGCTTTTCGACAACATTTTGAAGAACAAGAGCATTACTATGGCAAAATATTTCTCATTAGTCTTGTATGTAAACTTTCAAGAGAACTTTGCATAATTATTTCTTACGTATTCAGACAAATCATCATGGTGCCGAAGGAAAATTGAATGCAAAATATCGTGAATTACATGAAGAAAGTCAAAATAAAAAAAATAAGTAAGAAGATATTTTCTTCTAATCTCAAAATATTCGTTTCATGTTCTTCTTCAATTCAGATTTGAAGATTTCGATTTCCATAAAGAGTGTGCTGGTATGCGTTACGATCGTTTAACAATACTTCTAGCTCGTATCATAGCTGATCTAGATGATTATAGGTAATGTATGGAAGAGAATACTTCGTTTTTTAAATAAAATTATAACATATATAAATTGCTCTAGTACAGTTATTTTGCCATAAGTAAAACTGGTATATTACAAGGTCAACAACATGGCGTTTTCCGTACAAATTGTATTGATTGTCTTGATCGAACAAATGTTGTTCAAAGTTTAATTGCTAAACGAATTTTAGAAGAACAATTACAACGTAACAATGTTATTCAATATCGTGAAACTATTGATTCCTATAAACAATTAAGTAGTATATTCAAAAATGGTAAATTCAAAATATGCTTTATTGATTAAAAAATGAATTTATTTCATTTTTAGTTTGGGCTGATAATGCCGATGTTATTAGCCTTCAATATGCTGGAACTGGCGCTTTGAAAACAGACTATACAAGGTTTGTTTAGTACCTGTGAAAATATAACATATAGTTTTTCCTTTAAATATCATCACAGTTTACATTGATAATATTAGTTCATCATACTCATCTGTTAGAAGCAATTGTCTTGGATGAGCAAAGCTTTCTCGATTGATCGAAAAGAAAATTCCAATAATTGTTTTTTCTATAATTATTTAGAACGGGTCAACGGTCAGCCATGGGTTTACTTAAAGATGGTTATAATTCATGTGTGCGTTATGTATTAAATAATTTTTATGATGGTTTTCGACAAGTGAGAACAAACTGCTGTTTTTCTTGAAAGAGCTTTCTACATGATCGTTCTTTTCTTCTCTTTATTAAAAAGGATGGCATTGACCTTTTCCTGGGTAACTATCGTGTATCGTCCGATGAAGGTCGTACTCCTGAATCATGCCCAATCAGTAAAGAATTGAGTAAAAAATTTTTGGCCTTACCGATAACCATGTTTCTTGCTTTTTCCATGTGCATTATTAATTTATTAATACCAGCTGCATCATTTCGTGAACAAATGACTTATGTTTTATTTTGGGGCGCAGCAACCATATCAACATTAGCTATAACAATATTTTGGGGACAAGAATTAGTTGATGCGCCCAAACTTTATTCAAAAGTTAAACGAGATTAACATAGCATTTAAATATTTTGACAAGTAAAATAATAAACATAATGATATTTTTTTTGTGCTATTTCTGTTCATGTCAATCTTTGTTCTTCGTTTCTTTTTTAATATAACTTATAATTGATATATATGCAGTATAATACTATGTGAAAACTAAACCGTTTCTTTCTCAATTGATAACGCATATTCAACAAATAATTTTCATATTCAGATGATAACAATAGTATTAAGCACAACTGAGTACGTCGTTATATTTGAATGATAGATTGAAATGCATTGTGTTTTTTGATTTTTCTTACGCTGTAAATCGTTTCTGAATTTTGGAATCGATCGAGATGCTTATGATTTTAGATGTCTACACTATCTTATCTAGCGCGATGTTTACACTTACGATCAAATTATGATTCATCTTTAATTATTCGTGATGTTGCTTATTTTTCTGGATCAGATGCACATGTTAATCATAAATTAGATATATTTCTACCTGCGCCATCAAGAAATCTATTATCACCCGCTGACGAAGAAGAACCTCAAAAGAAAGTACCAATTATTGTACATATTCATGGCGGTGGTTGGGTTCGTGGTAGTCGTACACATGAATGGCGCGGCGGTCCTATAATCGGTCGAACATCGGCAAAAGAAGGTTTTGTTGGTGTTGTTGCATCCTATCGTTTAGCACGTATATCACCTATTTCATTTTTTACTTGGTCATTCATTTTTGGTTTGATCATCTTGATTGCTTCGCTTGCCATACTTTCATGGCAACTTATAACTGGCTACATTGCTTTTATGATTATTGTTTATGCTTATAAATGTTTATATAAAGTACGAATACCGGTTAATCTTGAACATGTAAGTTAAAAAGTTCTTTTTGACATCAAGAAGAATTATTAATTTCAATTTAGATGACCGATGATTTATGCCGTGCATTAGTCTATGTTCGAGATCATATACATGAACATTGCCCACAAGCTGATACGAATCAAATATTTCTAACGGGTCATTCTGCCGGTGCACATTTAATAAGTTTACTTGTTCTTGATAAAGCACATTTTGAACGTCATAATTTTGATTCATCATCTATTCGAGGAGTTATAGTTATGAGCGGAATTTATTCATTGTCAAATCCAACGCATGATTCGCATAATAATATTCGTAATTTAATTTTTCGTATACTCTATGGAAGTAATTTAATGTATCCAGAAGGAAAAACAATGTATGAATATTCACCAATTGAATATATAAAAGCAGATAGTACATTACCACCGTTTCTCGTTATGTCTGCTCGATTTGACATGGGTTTAGAAATCGATGCACAACGTTTTGTTGAAAAACTTCGTCAATATAATTATCAAGTTGAATATTATGTTATTGGCGGTATCACAACGCATGGAACAATAGCGAGCAGATTTTCAAAAAATGAAGCACGCCGACATTTTTTTACATTTATCCGACAGAATATGATTTGATGTATAGAAATAAAATTAATTTAATTTTTTAAATAATTTTAAGTCGTTCGATGGAACTATTTTATTGTTGTATTTTTTTAGATTAAAATTTTACTGCAAAAAACAAAATGCCCGTGACAAGTGCTTATCTTGATGCGTATAATACAAATATTGATCGAATGAATACTTGTATTATGTCAGCTGTTTACTCGCCAGATAATACACGATTAATAGTCGGTGATGATCAAGGTCGTTTAGGATTATTTTATTCTTCACCTCAAATATCATCAAAACCAATATTGCTCACAAATTTATTTAATTCATATAATACACAGACGAATTCTCGGACGCTTAATAATAATAATAATAATAATAATAATAATAATAATAATAATACTATTTCACTTGCATCGACAATGAGTGAAATTTTAATTGCTGTTGGTGGTAGTATTCAAAATGGGCTTGTACAAGGTTATCGTTGGTCGGATATAATGTCAAATAAGAAAACACCACAATTACCATCGGATGTACTTTCATTTGATCTTGCACGTGGGCCCAATGAAGTATTTGTTTGTGTTCAAGCACCATCAAAAAGACAGCAATCAAAACCAGATGAAATTATTGTTGGATCGAGTATTGGAACATTAAGAGTATTAAATATTGAACGGCACACACTAGTCACAACTATTGATGCAGCTCATAGAGGAACGATACATCAAGTAGCATTTGCTAATGATGGAAAGCGTGTTGCATCATGTTCTGAAGATGGTAAGTTCATTAGAATTTTGCGAAAAATAATCTATACTCATAAGTTCCGTAGAGAAACGAAATAATAGTCCGTGAGAATCTTGAGCAATCGTATCATTTGATTCAATGTTCTAGTAGAGCAACTTCTACGAATAGAACTTTTCATATAGTTCTTGCGATATGAAGTACAAGAAAACTTATTGAACTCCTATTAAAAGAGAATCGCTGAGACATGAATAAGTTTTCATCCATCGACTCTTCTTATTAAAACGAGTGGTTTCTATTTAAAACATTGCCGCATCTTTCGAAAGGATTAGTTTCTTGCTACTACTTGAATCCTTTTTTCTTTATTATCAACAATAGTCTATCGAAAATTTCTATTATTAAAATTAATATCTATTTAGGAACATGTAAAATATGGGATTTATCATCATCGCATCAACCTATTCACACGATTGAAACAAATAAGTGGATCAGTAGTTGTGCATTTGATTTAGCTACAGACCGTCTTGTTATTGGAGGTGATTGTCCATTGTCACTTTGGCATTTAGCTATGCTAAGTTCATCGCCATCAAAACAAAAGCCATTACTTGTCTATAATTCCATTCCGACACCCATTTATTCAATAGCATTATGTTCTGTTGATGATGATACCATACTTGTTGGTGGAGATACAAATAAATTATATTCAATACCAAAAAACGGTGATGAGCAAACGATGACAATAAGCCGTCCAACGACACCGTCGCCTATTTATACGATTGCTACAACAACAAATAAAAATTTGCCAAAAGACAATGAAGAAGTTAAAGTTGCTGTGGCTGGTAGCCATTGGCAAATTGATTCATTTACAATCTCAGAAACAAATATTCGAAAAACTGGACATTATGAATTTTCAAAATGAATACTCTCAGATATACTTAGATGAATTAAGTGTTTTGGTGTTTCTTTTTTTGTGGCAAATATAAACAAGATTTATGATGTAAATTTAAAAAGTCATTAAAATAGAAAAAATTAGAAGAAACAATACGATTATTTAAACAAAACGTTTTGTTTTAGTACTTGACTGTTACATATATATATATATAATTATATATGTATTTATTAATGGTGGATCAATCTTAAAAAGTGAAAAAATATTAAGAGCTTCATCTTTTTGTGAAGAACTGATAATTTTATACGTTATAATTTTCATTTGTAAAACGATAAAAAGCTTCATATGAATCAGCATATCAAATATCTAATGACTTTGTATGACTTATTAGAAGTCCTACCTACAAAGCGATCATGTAACTAGTTATAAATAACTTATGTAGACAATGTGAGTCACTTTAAAATACAACTAAAATGCGAAGTTCTTTATTATCTAAGCATCAAATCACATAAAAAGAGATAAGCGGACACGATACAAATTATCAGAAGCTGTATGTGAGTCTAAGTGTTGTCACAAAAGTTCCTATTCAAACGATATCATATACAGATTAACGCTTAATTAATTTTTTGTTTAGTGAAATTTTCAAGTTTGAAAACTTCAGAGAATCAACAAAAAATTTTATGTTTTCCAACTTAATATGAGTCCGGAAATATTCGAATAGAAAGAAAGAGTTAATTCTCTCCCATGAACTGTTACCTATCGATAGAATTTCCATAATGCATTTTCTTCATCAAAAGCAAATCTTTTATTTATCCCTATTGACCACTAGAAAAATAACTCTTATTTAGTATAGCATAAAGTAAAGGATTTAAACATGAATTAAAATACGATAATCCATGGGCAATAGCTCGAGCTGCTGTTAGTATATGAACATGTCTCGAAGAAAATGAATTTGATAAAATTTGTGAACAACTTAATAATTCAAGTACATGAATTGGTAACCAACAAAGAGCAAATGCTAGAGTTAAAGCTAACAGCGTACGTTGTACTCGACGTTTTTTGAAGTTTATTGATTGACGCGGTTGGCCATACTACAATGAAAATGATTAATCATATTCAAAACAGAAACTCTTGGAATTATTATTGATGATCTTTCAATAGAAATTGATATGTTATGATAAAATCTAGCTTCATCAATCGATTTCAGATGAATCAATAGATTTCAAATTTTGACAATGAAACAATGATTCATGATATAATAAGCTCGACAACACAATATTTCTACTTACAAGTTGTTTAGCGATTTCATGGGCACTACGTTGAACATGCAATAGAATACGAGAATAGCACAGACCAATAATTAGCAAAGGTAATAGATAATAAAATAAAAATGTAAATAGACATGATGAAAACAAGCTATCATTGTCATTAACTGTACAATCAAGTACTACTGATGATTGATTGTTTTTATCGTCATGTCTATGTGATAAATAATCATAAGGAAACATGAAAACACAGGAAGCTAGAAATAAAAACAAAAAGCTAAATGAATTTACACTATATCTATAGATAATCAATATTAGCGTCAAAAAAATATGTTTACCTGCCCAAATAAGTACACATATAAGTAGTGCCGTTTTTGGTTTTCGGTACTTTCGATAACAAATTTCATGAACTATAGTTAAATATCGATCTATGCTCATTGCCGCTAATGTCAGGCAAGTAGCTTGTAGAAGAACCTAAAATTTGCATAGCCATTAAAAAGATCATCGTATAAAAAAATCATATATACATGTGCTAGATAAATATGCATTTTACATATAAACTGTCCAAAAATCCAAATTCTATTGACAGCCAAATAAGTAGTTAGTGGCACCGAAATGAGTAAAAATAAAAGGTCAGTTATTGCTAAATTCATAATATAGCAATTAGTAACATTATGTTGATACTTTCGTCTACAAATGCCAACCACAAGTACAATTGCGTTGCCTAGATCGTTTATTTCGAAATGAAATATTAATAATTAAATTCAATCTTACCACAAATACCACAAATTAAAACAAGACATAACATTGATGTCGTCGCTATATTTAAAATATCATCATAATCATACATACTAAACCGCATGATCAATTAATACTGATGTTTTCACTAGAACAATAGATGACCATACATAAGATTCATCATTTCTTTTATAATGGAAAAATTAAAGATGTTTTGCATCAGTTCAATGTATAACTTCCACTAGAGTAATTTAAACCAATTGGCAGAAAAAGAAGGAAAAAAATAATAAAAGCACATTCATATCCTGCTAGCGAAAAAACCTTATTATCAGTGACGTTAGTTTAATCTACTCATTTTCTTTGGTATTTCTAGAAAGAAAATGATATTGTTAATCGTTGAAATCAACTTTCATTTCAAATTATATGTTGCTATCGAATAAAATAAAGAGCTTCTTGGAAATATGTACTTATGTGACTATTCCTTTCGAGTGTTATCGGCGTGACCTATGGAAAACATCTTTTGAGAAGACGCTGATCTACAAAGAAAATTTATTTGACTGACTTAGTTGAGTAATTGTCGTTTATAATTAATAACGAAAAACTGTTGATTGCATTCAATTCTGGTTGAAACAATCTTTTAGTATTTCTAAACTCATTTAATTGAACTTGCTTAATGTCAGTTAGCCATAAACAGGATCTAAAAGCAAAGGAAAAAATAATTTTTCTGAAAGGAAATTATTCTTTTTAACAATTTTGATTTTATCCTAATTTTATTATAAACCTTGGCTTCGAATTTAACGGAGAGCATACGACTACTCGCGATGTCTGCGCTTTATTTTTAATATCATTTCGATTTCATTAAAACGCCTCAAATAATCTAGCCGTTTGGGAATTTTATTCTTCCATAGCTTAGCAATTTAATGTAGTTTCTAATGAACTGTCATACATACCCGCTTGTTTACATACACTGAGGTCTTTTCATGCAAACTATACCCTTTTTACAAATGTATTAGTGTTGCTGATCTAAAATCTCTGATACAAAGGATGTTCTTTCTCTTTTCTATACACTCTTATTTATTAGGAAAAGGAACGGTAGCGAATTCTGTTATATTAGTTGTATATGTTACAGGGGAAATTGAAATTTTAATCTCCCCTAGGGCAAATTAAAATTTTGTTTTTTCCACGTACAATTTATGAGAAAAAGTGAAGATTTTGACTTCAAAACGTACTACATTCGCGCCCACATCAACATTGGCATCTAATTATCAAGTTCCATCATATCAGTCTTGTCCAGATACCTGAATTCGCGCAAAAAACACTTATCTTATTTGTGGGCATGGACGTAGCGTGTACATGAGGGTGTGGGTGTAGGTGCGTGTATAGGTGCTAGTATTAGTGTGGGTATGAATGTAGTACGTTTTGAAATCAAAATCTTTACTTTTTCTCATAAATTGAACCCGGAAAAAAAATTTCAATTTCCCCTAAGGGCTATTTTAAATAGCCCTGCATTTCAATCTCCCCTGTAACATATATTTTAGCTGTTTTTCTTATGATACAATTCTCTTCCGGTTTGGTGCAGAGACATTCATAAACAGCTGTCAATGAACGTCGATTATTAGAATTAAATTTAAAGCGGTCTGCTAAAAAAAGACAAGAGATATGGTGTAAATCTATTTTATATAAAAACTAAATTTATATGACTTATAATTAATTGAGCAATAAAAATATTGGAATGAGCGATACAATAGTTGAAATGAGCAATAATCAAATTTAGCAATAAATATATTGAATGAGCAATATATATAATGAATAAGCGGTAATTATACTGAATGAGAAATAATCAGACAGAATGAGCAGTAATTAATTTAAATAAAGCATAGAATTTATATAAAAAAGGCAATAATAATTCGTTTATTTGCAACAATAAGTGATTTTCACCTTCATGAAAATACTATATGTAATTTATACAAATGATTCAATTGCAACACATAACACACTATAATTCTGATTCTGAAAATGACATTGATATGTAAACTCAACCTTCTAGCAGCACTGAAGCAGTTAAAAGAATTTAAAGTTGTCGTATTTTTTATAGTCAATAAATCGTCCAAAGAACAAACTCCTACTTTTACCAATTCAAAACTCTTTGAACATCAACTATCAATAACATTATCATGTTAGATTGATGCATACAATTGGGTTAAGCTGAACAAAGACGTTATATCTATTTTGAATGATGATACAACGATATATTATTTGTCTGCTGGTGAAAAAGTTATAATAGCAGATAAAGAAATAAAACGATTGGAAACTTGTAGCTTTAACTCGTTTCACACATACAAGTCGATCTAGTTTAATATATGGTGCGTATGTTTCTCTAACAATGCTGACAAATGGAAAGAAGCAATCTGCACCTGTTCATCATTCATGAAAAATTATATATGCAAGCACATTATCGGTATGTCCATTATATTAAAATATTGCAAACTTCCACCTGAGGCAAAAAATGTAGAAATCGGTACAAAAAGAAAAAGAGGTAAACCATCAAAAGTAAAAAAGCTTTATTGGTACAATAATCACTTATATATGTTTCATTTTTCTTTTTTTCTTGTCAATTGTAAATAAAAAGAATGTAGTTTTTCTCTTTTTTGTTGTTCAAATATGAAATTAATATCGCTGTATAATAAGCTTTTTAGTACTCATTTAATATTATAAAATTGTTCAAATTAAGTTTTCTTATTGCTCGATAGATACTGTTAAATCATATTTATCTTATTGTTCATTCCAATATTTTTATCTCTCACATAAATACAAGCCAATTTATATCTACTAATCATTCATATGGCATTCATTAATGTTTACTCAATTAGAATTTAAAACTATTTTTTACGCGAGAAAAATGCATTGTATCATTAGCATGAACAATGCTATATTAAATATATAAGAAGATAAGAAAGATTGCATTTTGAGAAGCTATGCATTTTGTTGAACTGAACTGAACGTTCAAATAAATTCAGCACATGTATACGATCCTTTCTAATTTTAGCATGGTATACAGCAGTTAACATACTTTAATAGCAGAGAAAGTCTATGTTAGTAGAGAGTCGCATTCTATCCCACGTGGCAACAGAATAAAAATAAATATTCCTAATTAAGTTGTAATAGAATAGTTTGTATCACACCTGATAAAAGCTCATCCTCGAGGCTATCAAATAAAAAATGCACTCATATCTAGTATTGTATTAGATTTTTCGTGATTTTACATGAAAAGTGGTACTACTAATTTCTAAACTTTTCCAGACACTGTATTGTTCATTTTTTCCCGACGATGTCATACTTCCTTTTAATTTCGTGATAAAATTGTTTCTGCGCTACTGCTAATCCTACTAGTACTGAATAGTATTCTACTAATTAATAGTCTCAAACGAAAAAAAAGGATTCAACTAATCAAAACAAGACAGACAAGCATATGATTAGCTTTGGCTATTTTTCACCTTTTATTGTTCATTATCCTTAAGATCTCTTTTCATTCTTGTCTCATAAATTAACGGATAGAATATATTAAAATTAGGCCTGTCATACTTGCACAGCAATCACTGTGACAACAAAATCTGCTTATGCCGACTTTCTCCTCAGGTCAAAGCTATCTTAGCACTTGATGATTGCTCTAACAAAAAAAAAGAAAAGTTATTTTTAGTTCTGTTTATCGGGTACTATTTTCAACAAACAATTATGCAAGCCAATAATTTGTGTTAACTACGCATGAGAATATCTTTGAACATAAAAATTCCCTCTCGACTCATACAAATAAGAATAAGCAATAAATTATTGTAACTACTTACGTCAAAAATTTTATTAATAACCTATTGTTATTCCAGATAGATGATCGGATTAAAACAGCACGTACTGATTTAAAATGTAAATTTTAATGATAGGCAATATATAATTTCTCTCTCCCTATATCATAACAAGACGATTTCTAAAGTAGCAATAAAATGATGTGTTTTCATCAAGTTCTATTCGATGAAAAGAAACGACATTTCAAATGAATAATATACTTCAGCAATAGCAAATTGGATAAGACGAAAGAAAAACAGAAACCAATAAGATGACAAGAGAAAATAATGTATGGAATTAGATTAAAACTATACAATTATCATTGCTTCATTCGTATAGCACATGTGGTATCAAGAAGAAAGCCTTAATAACACAGAGAAACCAAGTTACGATGTGAATTAAGAATAAGACATAAATATTTGTTATCTCTTTGTCTCACCAAAGAACTTCTTTAATTATGACATATATGAAGTGGAACACTAGCCTAAGTATACTTTCTCATCAAATACACTAGTGTACTGCAAACAGTTAGTACGATTAATATTTTGGTTCACATGCGTGAAGAATTCTTTTCTGTTATTCTATGCTGAATGCTTCATATTCATAATGCATTTCAGTTGCGCAGCTCACACAACCTCTGATTCATTTAAGACACACTACAAAAATGTGCCATTCTATCAATGACATATGCAAAAAATGGAAGTATTTGATGTATACGAAACAAAAGAAAAAGAAAAAATAAAGCAGTCCAATGGATCGAGAGTTGTCTTCTATCAGGACATATCAATAATTCAAGTTTTTATTCTTTCACCATTCTCTATCCGACAGCCGTATTGTTTGAAAGACACTCGCATCATTTTCTGTTGACTGGCACAAACTTAGATCCAGTATTCTTCGTGATAGAGTTGATAGCGAACACAAACAATGTCAAAAGAAACAGACAGCACTCCTGTAGTAACACATTAATCAGGATGTTTTCTCTTCTCAGTTTCGCCTCAGAGACTAATAATAGGTTTTCCAAAAAATAAAGCGTTTGTATACACAATATGTGGTGTAACATTTTTCAGATTGTCTACTCTGTAAATTTTCAACGAGTTGTTCGACTGATCTCGAACTTTTACAGTAAATGCAGTACAAACAAAAAGCTATGAGAAAAGTGAAAAACTTAACTACTGACTATGCACAGCTCAGTACAGAGTTGTTTTACTAAAAATAGTACTTACGATTGCACAGATTTTAAAATATTCTTTTCAATTATTATTTAACTCTACTCAATGCGACAACGAA